GATATACTCACGCAAAGATATCGACGATCACAGAGCTTAATGTTGGAACACTCTGAAACACAGAACAATAAACGCCGATGATGAGACAACGAGGCTAACAGTCGCGTAGGTGCGAAACACCCTAGTTATCACCGTCACACTCATGTATGAACGACGAGTTGTCATACATACAGGTATGACCAACGATTTGTCCGTCGTGCAGGTATAAACAACGATTTGTCATGCATACAGGTATGACCAACGAGTTGTCGTCCGTCGTACAGGTATAAACACGATTTTCATGCAACCAGGTAATGACCAACGAGTATTGTCGTCCGTACGTACAGGTATATGAACTAGAGAAATAGCAATCACCCACGCAGGTGTAAACTCCAGTGCACGCAGGTGCGAGAGCCAACGCGAGTAGCTGCCGTACAAACGGAACACGGATGACTCTCTGATCAGGAATGCTTCACGCGGCACCGCTACGATCTCATGCCGCTATGTACACATAGAGAGGGTAAGAGAAAGAAAGAGAGAGAGAGAGCGCGCGAGAGAGAGACACACAGAAAGAGAGAGAGCGATAAAATAAGAGAGAGAGAGAGGAAGACAGAGCGATAAAAAGAGAGAGAGAGAGAGGGGCAGAGAGAGAGACAGAGCGAGAAAGAGAGAAATACAAAGAGAGAGCGCGCGCGAGAGAGAGACAGGAAGAGAGAGAGCAATAAAAAGATAGAGAGAGAGAGAAAGAAAGAGAGAGAGAGAGAGATAGAGAGAGAGAGGCAGGGAGAGAGAGAGACAGAGCGAGAGAGAGAGCGCGAGAGAAAAATAGAGAAAATAAAGAGAGAGCGCGCGCGAGAGAGAGAGAGAGACAGGAAGAAAGAGCAATAAAAGAGAGAGAGAGAAAAGAGAGAGAAAGAGAGAGAGAAAAGGAGAAAGAGAGAGAGAGAGAGAGAGAGAGAGAGAGGAGAGAGAGAGAGAGAGAGAGAGAAGAGGCAAGAGCGAGAGAGAGAGAGAGAGAGAGAGAGAGAGAGAGAGAGACAGAGCGAGAGAGAAATAGATGGAGAGAGGAAGATGAGGAGAGAAGGAGAGAGACACACACACACACACACACGCACGCACACACACAGAGAGCATGCTATATCACACAGAGCTGCATCTATAAGCTGACTACATACTATACGTTATCTGTGAAGCCTATAGACTATATCGACGACTACACCTGTCACGTCTAGTTTATACCAAGAGTAAATAATAGAGATTAACTCCTATTATGTACTCTTGGTTATACATATCACCAGTATATATAGTTATATAGGTATAGTTATATAGTATATATAGTTATATAGTATATATAGTTATATAGTATCAGGAGCGTATATGACAAATATGTCATTATACGCTCCTGATAGTATATATATAGTTATATAGGTATAGTTATATAGTATATATATAGCTATCGATAGCATCAGCAGCTCGTATGGAATCGCAAAGCTTAGGCAACGACAGCGCAATCATGGGAACTCAAATGTGAGAACGTGAACAAGTTAGTGAAGTAAAGACGTAACGCTAGTATAAGTAAGAACTCACTCAAAAATCTTAGCTTCTCATCCAGTCAACGGCAGGTGGTCTGCCAAGTGGCATGCCTTTCTGCGCATCCGCCGTGGCTTCCTTATATACGATAGCGCGACGCGCTTCGGCCTACTAAACGCGCGTCGGCAGCCCTAATTCTAGTTCACGAGTCGACGAAGTCGATTAGCGAGACAGGATTATTCATTCGTTCGGCGTCGTTGTCTTTGATATACAGACGTGGGTTTTTAATTGTGGGAACGACAGCACGGCTGTTTACTGTTAAAGTCTCGGCCAACAACCGCCGCGCGGACATCCGCTATAATTCTGCAGCATGGTAGTGCGCGATGATGCGCGCGCGAGTGCCTCTGTCGAACGAGCGCAAGTACGGTAAGGGATCGTCTGTGGGCGAAGGTTTCGCAAGATGGCCGTCGGCATAACTCGTCGTGATTGGCGCAGCGCGTGCCGACGCGCCGCGGCCGGAAGTATGTCACCGTTTCTACTGACACTCTCGTCGCGGTCGTACTGCGTGCTCCTCATTATGTCATATATACTTGGTATCAGCGAAAGAGATCATCAATAGTTAAAGCGCTTAGCGTCACCTGGCCGGCTTATGGCTGCCGCGTGATGCCACCGGTGTGTTTAATTAAATTACAATTTATATTTATATTATTACAATTAACAATTAATATTATGCGACGCTTACATGTGTCGAAAAAAATGTCAACGATTTTCACGCATTCCTCATCTGCATTAGAAATATAAACTTCAGGGTGCGCGCAAGAGCGCGGTGTGTGTGTGTGTGTGTGTGTGTGTGTGTGTGTGGTGTGTCGTGTGTGTGTATAGTGTGTGTGCTGTGTGTGTGTGTCGTGTGTGTGTGTGTGTGTGTGGTGTGTGTGTATGTGTGTGTGTGTGTGGGGTGTGTGTGAGTGTGTGTGTGTGTGTGTCGTTGTGTGTGTGTGTGTGTGTGTGTGTGGTTCGTTTTGTGTGTGGTGTAGTTGTGGTGTGTGTGTGTTGTGTGTGTGTGTGTGTGTGTGTGTGTGCGTGTGCGTGTGTGCGCGCGCGCGCGTGTATGTGTGTGAACGCGTGCGCGTGTATGACGATAATGGAGACGTGGCTGCAACAACTCCCGATACTCAAATCCAGCTAGATACTGGGTAAGAACAGGGACGAAAAGTATAGGGTTGTAAAGCGATATCATCGACAAGTTTAAGCCTATTATAGTAATGAGCGGTAACAGGACCAAGGCAAAGAGTTACTGGGATAACAGCAAAAAAATAGTTCTATAATTCGACGGAGGCGTGTGGATCCGGAGGCGGATACGGAGGCGGATAACGGCGTTCAGGTAACTTTCCCTAGATCAATAATTGCTCGCTAGAAAATATAACTGAGAACTAGAGACAGATATCACCGTTCGCCGGCGCAATAAACGCCGACGCAAAAAAATCGTCAAAAGCGAAAAATAATTTATTTTGATAATCCTTCTCGAACCTATTCGGTACCTTCAAGCGATGTCTTACCATGTATTTGCCAGATTAATGGACATGTCGACAGATTTTGAGAAGTTCGTCATACCTTAACGAGCTTGTAGGCGGGAATACTTAATGAGATAATACAATGTTATCTGTATAATACTTAATCTTCCATATTATCTGATAAATCTGCGCTATACTTGGATCCACTAATCTGACCTAGTGATATTGACCCAATATTAATTTTGCCAATATAGGGTCAATATCAACTGGCTTGGCTGGGTAATATTTCATAGAATATAAAAATGTTTACTTAAACAATCGAGATTAGCAACCTAACATGTAACTAGGAATGTGGTGTGAGCAAAACAAGAAGCTGCGCGAGAAGTACGGGACAATATATTCAGCCTATAAACAATCATACGATTAAATGTCTCATTAATTAAAGTGTGTAAATATAGTAATAGAACTTTAAAATAACAACATGATTTCATTATAACAGTTTAGCTTTTATGGCTTCATAGGGAAAACATGTAGTATTAAAACTGGGGCTATGCTTATTATATTGTTGGAGCATTTTGAAACAGGAAATGATACAACTTTAGGACCGAATTCATATTCATTTGCCTTTCATAGCAAACGTGGCAATACATATTATTAAGTGTTTTATTTCCGGTATGCCTGCATAAAGTTCAAAAGCTGCAGTTATTGTGCGTACACACGCGCGCACTATTTGTGAATACCAGCCTAAACGCCTGTCTTGCGTATAAACGTGCGTAAGTACGATATTGTGCATATATAACGCACTGTTCTTAAATCTGGCCCCCGTTGGCACAGCAATGTTCCCTATACGTATTTGTGTAAATCGCTTTCATATAATCACGGTAACTATTCACGCAATATCTTTTTGTGTAACCGCTATTGCAAACGTAGCGTTTTACAATACAATACAATGCAATGCAATCTTACATACAAACGAGGGCAGCATAGTATATAAATTATTACATTCAACACCAGCCATATATTCACGTGATTAAGGCAAAATTCATAACTTTATATTATGTATGTCATTAATGGATATATAATGTTTTCATTACTTTTTAAAAATAAACGCCATATACAAGTGTAATTCGGAGACGCCTCATCACATTTGTCTTTCAACAATAATATATTATTAATAAGCTTCAAATTAGCGGAAATCAAACGGTAAGTCTATGTTTCCAAAAGAATTGTAACATACAACATGCGCACGCATGTGCTTGCCTAGTGTAATCGCATAGCGTGTGGACGCCTCATGCGAAGTGTGCGTCGTGCGTAGCGCACACAATTGTGTGCGATTAAGATATACTAGGCCATCACTGTTCAGGCGTTAGGATATTTATAACATGCTAGTTGATGTTTGAGAGCATACAATCGACTCCACTAAACAGGTAAACCACAGTCGTGTCACCGATCACATGCTAGTGACGTTAAGCTGCAATAATAACACTACTTCGGATGAGGGGGAGGGGGCCCTGCTAGGATCACACACACACACAACACACACACACACACACACAACACACACACACACACACACACAACCAACAGCACACGACGCAGCAGCACGCAGCGCACACGCGCACCACGACGCACACACGCAAACAACAGTTCGCACACACGCACACATACACACAACACAAACACACACAACAACACACACATGCACACAGCACATGCCACACACCACACACAGACAGCACAAACACACACACACACACACACATGCACGACTACACACACACACACACACACACATCGCTCCACACACCAACACACACACACACACACACACACCAAACACCACACGCAGCAGCAACACACACCACACAATACATATACTATATACTAATATATATACTCACACACACACACACACACGACACACACACACACAGCACATGCACACACACACACAAGCCTACACACACACACACACACACACACACACACACACACACACACACACACACACACACACACACACACAATGTATGTTATAATTTGGCCACACGATTATCGGTATCACTAGAGAATAAGAGATTCGATAGTGAAATGCGTGTGCCCCTTCTCTATAATTATCTGCGTCGCACTATCAGCTCGGCGGCATTTCCCTTCTCTTGCCCTGGCCTCCTCTACCACGCCTGCACTGGCTTTGAGAGTCCCCGCACGCTTGTACGCGGTCTCCGGTGAGAACACCACGTACGTTCGAGCCTAAGTTTCGCCCATGACTTTTTTCTTCAGAGATCCCAAGCGTTCGACGACAGCATGGCCTGGCCTTTCGCTGTCCGCACCACGGACGCCGCTGCGGCCCGAATTCGTCACACTGTCGGCCTTGGCGTGAATGCTATGCGCTGGCGACTTAGTTTCGGACAGCGTGTATTTGCCCGCCTCCGCTCGGAGTCGATCTCTCACGTCCGTGGGCGTCCGCATCTTAACGCCTCTATACGGCGATTTTAGTGAGAGCACCGGATTCGCGTCGAGCTGGTACATTTTGGGGGGTTTCTTTCCGGACGGGGAGTGCTGCTTCGACGATGGCTGCGAGCTGTAGTCGAGAGTTGGCGGCTGCAGCGATGTGGTCTTACTGAGCTCGGTGTGGCCTGAGCCGGCGCTACCTTGCATGCTGAGAGCTTTGTGCAGAAGACCGGAGAGCCGTGAGCCGGGCTGTAGGCTGAACACCTCCGAGCGCCGCGATATCTGACTAGGAGCACGAGGACTCGAGCAGAAGGACATGTTACTATCTCGGCACTTTCTCCGTAGCTTGTAAATGACCATGCGCAATGAATTCACGATTATGCGAGCTGCCTTGTCACTGACGAAGCTTCCCGTGCGGCCGCCCTTGCTCTTAAGAAAGTCGGCGATCTCCTTGTGTCCCTTCATGATTGCCATGTCAAACGGTGTTATGTAGTTTCTCTAAAACAAAGACCGACGTGAAATTAGAAGTTAAATAATGCCACTTCCTCTATATACATGGCAAATTATTTCTTTAATATTTGTTAAAATTGTGTTCTTCCTTTCTTTTTTTAATTGTAGTGGTAAAAAGAGGTAAAAGCTCCCCAGTGTTAACCACAGGTCAAGTGTATAATTAATAATTAAATATTAACAAAAACGCACATACTCTATTTCGCCAAAGGGGGTTAACAAATGCCTTTTTCTCTAGCAATAGTTGACACATTTCCAAGTTGTCGTTTTTAACTGCCAGATGAAGACACGTTCTCCCATGCATATTGCCTCGGTTGACATCCCTAGTAATCGTTTTCTTGTTTGCGTTGAATAAGAACTGTACAATATCTGAAATTTAGGGAAATCCGCATTAACAACAGAAACGGAGTTTGCGTATTTTCCCAATTTAATGCTCTTATAATTACTACACTGATGCCAAAAATTCATCTCACTGCGACATGATGAACCACGTACGGAGCCCATCTACACAGTTACCTTAAAATGATCAGTGCAGTTTATTTAAAAAATATTTATGTAACATGCAGTTTCCGCACCTATCCGATCGGCTTGCATGGCGTAATGCAGAGGTGTTTCTAGGTTCTTGTCTTGCATCATCAGATCGATCTTATTCTCGTGTAGTAACTGCAGACATGACAAGATTCCCCGCGATGCGACATAGTGCGCGGCGCTGCAACATGAACGCAACTGATTTTTCGTAATCGAAGTACAAGTAGAAACGTACACGTAGATGCCAAGATATGCAAAACACATGTATAAATGTTCAAGCAAAAATTATTTAATTATAAATATTAATAAAAATTATTATTTAAATATTATATTTATACATATAATTGATAAGATATTAGTGATAATATTATGGTTATATTATAGTATATTAATGTAATATACACTATATTATGAGTTCATATAATAGAATATATAGGCGGGGAAGTTTTGCTTGGGTTGCATACTTTCCCAAAATCCGTATATATATAATAGTATATATATATAGTATAGTAATATATAGGGTTTGTTGTTGGATAAAGAGTGCAAGCAGATGCGCCAAAACCCGCCGTGCGCTTTTCAACAGAAGCCGCTCGATGATTGCGACAGAGCCGTGTTTTGTGCCTTAACCCATATCGAAACAATCAAAGTATCAAAGTAATATTATTATTTTATCTATCTATAGTCTATCTACTATCTAGGTCTATCTATCTATCTATCTATTATCTATCTATCTACTATCTATTTATCTTATCTATCTATCTACTAATCTATCTATCTATCTATCTTATTATCTATCTATCTATCGTAAATCTATCTGATCTATCTATTATATTATTTTATCTATCTAATCTAATCTATCTTCATTAATCCTATATAACTATCTATCATCTATCTATCTATCCTATCTATCTATCTATCTTATCTAATCTAATCTAGTCTATTATCTATCTAGCTATCATCTATCTATCTACTATCTACTACTATCTATACTATCCTATGCTACTATCCTATCTATTACTACCTATCTATCTACCTATACTATCCTATCTAGTCTAGCTATCTAAGGTCTATCTGTCTAATCTAATCTATCTATGCTACCTAATCTATCTATCTATTCTTCATATCTTATCTACTATCTATGCTTTCATCTATCCTATATTCGTGATAATAATATCTATCTATCCTCATCTATCTATCGTAATAGATAGATTAATATATCTGATCTATCTCATCTAACTATTTAGTTTATTATTTATCTGATTCATGCCATTGCTCATTATTCTATCTATCAAAAAGAAAAAAAACTATCTATCGCTATCTAGTGCTAGGTCATCTATCTAACCCAATATCTAATACTATCACGATCTATAATCTATCCGTTTGTCGTCTGTGGCCCCCCTGATCGTGCTGTCTGATCTGTCCTTTGGGCTGTCTGTCTGTTTGTCCTGTCTGTCCTGTCTGTCCTTATTACGTCCGTGGCGTTTCGATATCATCCATCCATTCCATTACATCTATCTATATTATCATATAGACCTCTCTCGTCTCTCTCTTCCTCTCTTGCTCGTCTTTTTCTCTTGTTCTCGTCTCTCTTTCTCTCTCGGCTCTCGGTCTCTCTCCGGGGATCTTTCTCTCCTCGTCCCTCTCTCTATCTGATCTCCTCACTCTCTCTCCGTTCTCTCTCTCTCTTATATAATATTAGTATATATTATAATTAAAGTATATGTCATCTATTAACGCCCTGATACTATATATTAAGTATATATATTATTATATAATGAATGATATATATATAATATGTGGTGTGCTGTTTGGTGTGTGTTGTTGGTGTGTTGTGCTTGTGTGTGTGTGTGTGTGTTTTTTGTGTGTGAGAGTGTGTGTGTGTTGTGTGTGGGTGTGCTGTGTGGTATTTGTGTGTGATGTGTGAGTTGAGTGTGTTGTGTGTGTGTGTGTGTTGTGTGTGTGTCGTGTGTGTGTGGTGTGTGTGTGTGTGATGTTTGTGCTGTGGTGTGTGTGTTAGGGGTGTGTTGTGTACCTTCTGCCATCGCTGTCCCTCAAGTTCGGGTTGGCGAGGTGCTCCAGCAGCATATTGACGCAATGCGGGTGATCATGCATCGCGGCGTGGAAGAGTGGCGACTTGCCGGTGTGATCTAACGAGTCGACGTCTGCATTGCCCTTATCTAGTAGCACCTGGGCGCAGTCCTGGTGGCCGAGGCTGCATGTGATGTGCAACGCTGTAATAATAAAGTAGAGGATTAACTACGAGTATTCTTTTAGTGCAAAGCGCCGATCTTCGAACGTCAATTCTGAGAAGAGCTTCGACGCGCGTGACGATGAAACTACAAACGTAATTAAATAGCTTTGAGAACAATCTAGGAAAGATACGATGCTGCGTGCGCGCTCACTTAGCACGAGACTTTTCCCGAGTAATTATTTTTGATGAGATATGTTTCTTTTTTATCGAGGAATTTTGCGTACAGCAGTGATCGATATTTCACATGTCCATGATCGGAGTAACCTCACGTAACGAACATGTAGCATCCCTTCCCTAAATAGGAAAACCGATCCATAATAAACGTCGAAAAAACACGCCAGACGTGATTAAAATAAACAAGCGTGCACGCGAACCGTGCAGCTGTCACACATATATGCACAAAAACGACGTACCCGCCAATCCTTCCTTATCCGTCGCATGCGTATCCGCGCCAAAGTTAACCAGCATCTCACAGGCATCACTGGAACCTGCAGACAGGTATAAGAGCCAGCGTCAACAACTCCCTACGCGCACGCTGCACGTTCCCATGCCAATTAAAATTCGATGACTTTCATAAAAATTACGAAAAATACTCAGAGGTATAGATTTGCTACGATGCAGTGTTCATATTACTGGATTCGACAACCTAAAAATAACTATATACAAAGGGAAAATCTGTTACAAATAGTGTTTTGTTGCTGAGACGAACTGAACTGTACATGAGAGCTCGCTTTGTAAAACCTTTTAAGCCAACTGTTTGAAAATTAATTAAATTTCTCGCACGGTTGGAGCTGTGGATAAGAGAATCCCGATAAAGGGATACTCTAATAACGTAATAATGGTGTAAATAGAAAAATTTCAGGTGAGCGGAGATGTGTAGGTGAGACGTACAGACGCTTGATGCTGTCGGATGGAGCAGAAATTTAAAAGGACAACGAAAAAAGGAAGAAAAGGAAAACGATGATAAAAACCTGATTATAGGTGAATTACGGACATTATATGTGGTGTCTGTCTGTGTGTCTGGTGCCAAATATTCTTGATCATATGTGTTTTTCAAGTTAGGAGTTTTATTGATTTATTTTTGCACAGTTTAATTATATCAGTTTGCAATATTTCGAAGATTTATGAATTCGGCTGTTATTAGAGATACCTGCGCATGCGGCCCAAAACAATGGCTGTCTACCATCTTTATCTGAACAGTTGGTAGAAATCTCTCGCTGTAGAAATGTCCGTAGCGTAGCTAGACCAAGCTCTGGATCGTTGCCCATGTCATTCGAACCGCACATCTGAGACAAAATAAGCAAATATTAGGGCGAGATTGCGATTGTATGGTATACTAGCGGGATACCCGGCGTTGCTCGGGGAAATCAGTGGCGTTACTCAGTTGGTGACCACTTGGTTGAAAGGAAAATACCCACAAAAAATGTAACTATCTATCTATCCATGCATCCATGCATCCATCCATTCATCCATCTCATTCCATGCCATCCCATCCCATCCCATCGCACCGCATCCCATCCCATACCCCATATCCCTTCCCATCCCATCCCATACCCCATATCCCTTCCCATCCCATCCCATCTCATCGCATCACATGCCATGCCATGCCATGCCATGCGATCCCATCCCATCGCATCCCTTCCCATCCCATCACATGCCATCCCATCCCATCCCATCGCATGCCATCCCATGCCATGCCATCCCATCCCATCCCAAACAGTAAAAAATAATAAGAATTCAAAAGATAAAAAACATTAAAAAGTAAAAAAGTAAAATTAAAAAGTAAATAATACATACTAAATAGGTAGGTAAAAGGGAAAAGGGAAAAAGGGAAAAATAAGCTCCCCAGCTGGAACTCGAACCAGGAATCGCAGTGTAGGAGACAGATGTTTTAGCGATTATGCCACTGCGCCGTTAAGGGTGTAACACCATGGATTCACACATACGTGATGTTAATCTGTACGCACCGCCATCTATTGATGAATAGAATTTTTATCAATTTTTAACTTTTTA